GTTGGGTGATTTGCTGTGTTCCATCACCAAATTATTTAGAGAGAAGAAGAAGGAATTTACTAGAAGTTAAAAGATGGGGGAAGGTAGATGATTTTAAAGAATTCAAATGAAAGGAAAACTAAATTTTAAGAATCAAACCTGAATTTGTTTGAAGTCCAAGTTATATTTAACTTGATAGATGTCAGTGTTTCTCTTCTGGACTAAAAATATTGCTGGACAATAGTTTGATTAAATAAACAGTTGAAAATATTTGAATACCAGTGCAAATGCTTGCAGCTGATGGAGCAAGACCTATGTTATGTGAAGTTTTTGTGGGGTCAAATTGTAAAAGACCAGAGTGGGACAGTGTTCACAAAAGTTATGTATCATGAAAAAAGACACTATGAAACAATGTTTGTGCTTCAACCACAGTCGTATCTAAACCATTAATCTTATAATTGCTCACTAATCTCAAAGGGTTTCTATAGTCTTCTGGAAAGAATATAAAATGAATAGCTTCATTCTCTTTCCTGAATACAGTCCATTGTGACTTCATAGTAATGAGTTGAAATCATCTGTTTTCTTTGAAAGAATAACAGTACTCTTAGTTTATCATTTAGTGTATAATAACACAAGTAATACATGAATATTCTCCCTCTAAAAAATTAAGCTTTTCAAATAAGAAAATCTCTTTTCACCAACATTTCAAGCTTTAGCATCTTCCTTGTTTCTTCAGTTATATATCCATACAGAATTTTTGCTGTGAATTTATGTACATGGAAATGCACCCATAGAAAATATGTAGAACCATTTTGCCTGTAAGGGTGTGTTTTAATAAATGACATCATTCTTCATGTAATGCTCTCAAACTTGCCCTTTCTAATAAAAAAAGAATATCGTGGGAAAGTCTATGTAAGTACAATATAGACTTAATTCATTTTTAAGCTGCTATATATACTCAATACTATGCATATATCCCAATTTATTCATCCATCTCCCCTACTGATAGATATTTATATTGTTTCTAATGTTCTGCTTATAAATAATGCTGCATTCTTTCCTTCCTAGACCTGTAGGGGCTTCTTTATAATAGTCCTTTTTTTGTTTATCTCTTGTGATTGGATAATCTTTTTACAATTCTGGGGACTCATGAAATGTAATAATTGATTTTATGTAGTGACTAACAATATCCTGTAGATTAGCCTCAAAATTGCCCAGGCCACTTCCTTTGGTGAATTTGAAAGCTTCATTAATACTTGATATGATTTAGCTAAATATGCCTAGTTGGCGCTGTTGAGGCCATGTCCTTAACTTTTGGGATAAGCTTTCTTTATTCTTCTGTCTGCCTATCCTCAGAACCACCTTTGTTCCAGTGGTATGATGGAAGCAGAGCAGAGTGAGAATTTTCTTCAGTAGACTAAGTCTGGGACTCTCGCCCGTTATCTATCAGAGTTTGGTCTAGTATATGAGGGAGAAGACTCCATCTGGGGTGAAGACGTGATATATATTTTCTTGAGATCTTTTGTTATAACCAGTCATTTGTGATCCCAGGACCTGGAAAAGCACCTGAGGAGCAGTAAGAGGTAGTTAAATTTGATTCATAGTTGAACGATTCACCCATAAGTAGTTCTTAACAGCCTGGGAAGGAGTCATAATCATGATGAGGATTTTGTTGATAGGATCATTTCTATGGCAAGGTAAGATTGCCCTGATACCTGGTACAAGAAAACAAAAAGCCTCTATCTTTTATTAGTTCTTTAATAAAAGAGCAAGCACAGAATGTCTAGGGGGTGACTGCTGTTGGGATCAGAAGAAAGCAAAACATCCAAATGAGGGCACAACATTTCACGGTTTTGATAGTGTTATCTTGCAAAGTAAAACCCTTTGTATCACTGAGTTAGCTGCCCCTGATAGAACAGAGATGCTTTGTACTGGAACAGAAGACAAATTTTAAAGGTTTCTTGACTACATCACCAACAATTCTACGCAACAATTTCTTGGCGTAATCTTCACATTCTTAAAAAGCATGCTGTTTTGTGTAATTCTCCCAACAATACTGACCCAGGCAGGAAAAGCCATACTGTAGATTAGTGAGAGTAGGTGATTTTTTTTTTTTTTTTGTCACGGCCAAAACACAATCCCAATCTGCCTTCACATCCATCTGTTCCTCACTCAATTGTGGTGCCTTCTACATGAAGTTATGTATTAGACAGAGATACATACTTACCAATAGATAGAAGGAAGTCTTGGGAATTTTCAGGTGTGCTGTGAAATTCCACACTATTCATATTGTGCTGTTTGACATTCCGTAGGGCTGTAAGCTTACTCAGAGCTCACGTAGATGTGCCCAGGTACTGTAAGTCAATCACTGTGCTTGGTCTTTGCCCCCTTCTTGTTTTGTGAAGAAGGCCTCAATGCACTTGGCTTGGTGAGGCTCAGAAACACTTGTATTTGCTACCTCTATGTTAAAAAAGGTCGTTGTGTGTGTGTGTACCCTATAAGAGCTGAGTTCCTTGCCTGCTCTGTTTCCAGACATCAAGTCTTATTTTGATGTGTTTTTCTAACTCTGTGTTTTCTAAACATGCTTAATCATCAAAATCATCTAAAATACTGTGAGTTCCATGATCAGACACGTTTAGGAAGCAATCTCAGTCTGATGCATTAGACTTATCTCTTGGAATTTAATTGCTGCGTCCTGTCAAGGACCCAGATCAATAATGTATTCCTGTAAGCACTTGGCGTCCTGCAGTGCTCTTGGCAGTAAATGAGCTAATGCTCCAAGGAAGTTAGGAGGCAGACATTCACTTTTTGAGGGTCCTTTCTCGAGTCAGGAGAGTAAGCGTTGTGCCATATAATGATATTTATTCACTGTTTCCACAATGATGTGAGTACGTACTCTGTGCCAGGCATTTGTGCTAGGTGCTGGGAACGAGGCAACTAACACTCATTGACGTGCTTATCATGGGATGGATACCAAGCTAACTGCTTCACATACCTTTTCTGGTTATAACTTCACAACAGTCCTGTGAGGTAGGTATTATCACCTTCGTTTTAAAATTAAGAAACTGTTATTTCAAAAGTTTGCCTGACTTGGCCAAGGTCACAGGTCTAATAACAGAGAGATTCAGATACCGGATGCATGTCCCTTCCTCTGTTGGCCTTCTGCTTACCATGGTCTACATGTTTCCTCACTTTGCTCTTTCTACTATAAACAAAGGTTCTCAGCCCTGGCTACATGATAGAATTACCCAGGGAGCTTTTAAAAAGCATCCTTGCTTGGGCTTCACCCCAAATAGATAAAACAAGAATATTTGATGGATCCCAAGCATGAACATTTTTAAAAAGCTCTCTGGGTGATTCCAATGTGCAGTGATGGCTGAGAGCCACTTAGAGCATCATTAATTGACACCTAATAGATACTGCTTCTGCCAGCCTAGCAGTTTCCAGAATTCTTCTTGGATCACTTGGCTGATTAAACTTTTAAAGTTTCCAAATCATTTTTTCTTTCCTTTGTAAACAAACTGAAATCTATTAAAATATAGTAAACACTTTCATAATATAAAATTTTCCCCAGTGAGGGCCATGATAAAAGTTCCACTTAACCAAGAATTCAGGAACTTGGTGATCTGTTTTCAGGGCATGCGTAGTCAACAGTGACTGGGTCTCTCCTTTTCTGATGAGACTCTGAAAACCTGGAGACACTTTCTTTCCATCTCATGGGGAAGAAACTCGTGGGGCTTGTGTTGGTTCTTAAAATTTTCCCTCATCCTCGTTGAACACAGGTCACAAATTGACTTACTTTTTCTGCCAAATCCAAGCCAAAGTAAAATAAAAGTTAAATACTTTGGATCTTGATAATTTGGATGCATTACTATAAGTACTTTAGACTATTTTGAATGCTCTAAGCAAAGAATACTCTGAAAAGTAGATGAATAGATACCTAAATTTCTTCAAGCCATTTGAAAATTTTTAACTACTCAAACAATGCATGTGTGTATAAACTTTTAAGTTAAGAATTCTACATTTCAGCTTTCAGCACTTTGTTAAATATTTATTATGTGGTCAGTAGTATCTTGCCTTTGTAAAGATGGCGACCTAACTAATTATTGACTCTTCACTAATTAAATGTGTTTTTTCCTTGTCCTCAATCAGTGAGTTGTGACTGATTTCTAAGACAGGTTCTTCTCATAACATCTATGTCAAATATTAAGAGTAAATAGTTGAAGTAATCACAAAGTTGTGGTCCATAAACTTTCCAGAAAGAGAAAGACAGGGAAAATAAATCTGGGGGGGTCACTGTATTTCAACAAGTTTGAGGCACTGCTATGAGAAGAAAAAAATCAAGGATACCAGGAGAGGAAAAACTCTTTGAACCATTGGGTCTTTAGACAGGGAGAGAAAGAGCAGTGGCTTCTACCCCACTATCATAAGTAACTTAACCTGAGTGTTTATCTCTGTGTTTTAAGAGTCAGATATCATTGCTGGGAGGATAGTTGTTTCATAAATTTCCACTGGGCTCAAGAGTCATTTTATGGCTATTACTAGAACAGATCATTAAAAAAAAAAGTAAATAGAGAAAAAGAAAGAAAAAGAAAAACATGAAAAATGGCCTCCTCTTTTACATTTCCACATAGGTGATCTCCATACCAGGAGATGAACTTGAACTTGGTTGGGCGGGAGACGAACCTGGTTGGGCGGGAGACTGGAGCCCCTCAGAGAATTTGGGATTCTTCCATTTTTACTGGGAGGGTTGGCAGGTATAACTTGTGTTGTTTTGTGAGTCCATGAGAGCCTCTGGGGTTCTACCTCCCTGCCTCTCCGTGTGGTGGAGAGTCAGTCGCTCAATCTGAAGCAGTCGACTGATTTCTGTCTGTGGCTTACTCATGAGCAGTGGCTTGGAAGTGTCAAAGCATGAGAAGCATGCGGTCAACAGCATGTGCTGCGTCATCTTCTACATGGTTCTGCATGGGACCCTTGGGGGCCGCTGCCTCTGAGCTCAGATGCCTCCCTCTTCCCTGCAGAACTCCCTGAAGGCTTCAAATCGGAAGAAGAAGAGAACAAGTTTTAAAAGAAAAGCCAGTAAAAGAGGAGCTGAAGTAAGTATTTCAGAGTTATACTCCAAGGAAATACAACATCCTTTCTGTAGCCTGCTCTGTCCTAAACGATTAGGCCAAAGCTTATTTTTCTGATGTATCTCCTATCACTCTTTTCTCCTCACTACATCCTAGCCACACTGGAATTTTTTTTGGTTCCTTAAACAAAACAAAACTTATCTCTGCACTTGCTTGGAAATGTTATCCCAGAGATGATGATGAACATGAAAGCTAACATTTGTAAAATGTTTAGAGCAGGAATGTCCAACCTTACGGCTTCCCTGGTCTGCATGGAGTAAAGAGGAATTGTCTTGGGATGCTCATGAATTATATAATATAGTTAGCGTATACACATAATAAGACTTATTTTATTTTTTGTTATAAAGTTTAGAAAAATGAAAACACTATAGAACTAGTGGGAAATCTGACCTTGTTTTTGTAAAAACGAATCTATCAATGTCTGGTTTGATGGAAGTGGTCACAATTCTTAGTGAGTTCTCAAGGTGTTCATCAGAAATGTTTATTTGAATTTTGTCCTTTGTGTGCTTCATATTTGAAAACAGCTGCTCACAAATGTATGTGCTGTAAAAAGCAATGTCATGAATAAAGTATAGTTGTGAACTTCAAAAATGGAACTACGCATGGAGTCATAAAGAAAATAAATGCCTAAAAAAGCATGATGTTAAAAGGTTTTATGGGGCTGCATTACTATTAATACCTGTCCTGGGCCCCATGTGGCCTGTGGGATGTGGGTTGGACATGCCAGGTTTAGAGTATACAAAGTAAAATCAAGTCTTGTCTTAATTCTCTGGAGCAAATTATAACTCAGAGTGTTACGTGGCAGGTCCTGTTATGAGTCAGCCTTGTAAAATAAGATGTAGGGTTTTTGGAGGGTGGTGAGGTAGTGGTTTCCCACTTACTTTGCTCTGGAGCTGCCTTTTAAACCATGGATATATATATATATATATATTTTAACAGTGCTACTTACTTCATTCAGCAGGAAAACAGAGGTCGTCCTTTTGTGGTAAAACCTATCTCTTCTCCGCTCATGAAACCCCTGCTTGTGTTTGTGAACCCCAAGAGTGGAGGTAATCAGGTGAGTCCTATTTTATGAGTTTAACTGAGAATTTTTAACAGTTTCTTGAAAACACAATTGCCAATGCCAATTAAAATAGCACCACTAGAACTCAAGCATTGGGAGACTCCTCACTTCTCAGGGACAAGGCTGTTGTTACTCCATTAGGGGATAGCCTCACATAGTAGCAGGCTAGGTGGCTCCTGTCGTTCTGTGGTCCATCCCTCCACTTCCACAGAAGGCCATCCCAAAGGCACTCAACAAACCCAACTACTGATGTTTCCCTTACAGATTTTCAAGAGAGGCGATTCCAGAATGTCTCCTAGTTGACAGGGTTCAGAATTTCTTGGTTCTTATAGTTAAGAAGCTCTTTACCAACTTATCTTTATTTCTTCCTATTACAATTTTTACTCAAACACTGTTGTTCTTGTCTTCAGAGAAAAAAGAGAATAATGACTCATCAGTCATGATAATCATTAACAAATACCACCAACACTGTAGAACTTCTAAAGATTTCTAAAGGTTTCCTTTGGTCTTTGCCCAAATCCCATAGCATAGTTATTATTTAGTTATCATTTAGAAAAGTTAAGTTTAATGATGCACCTAAAGTGAAACTGTTCTTTATTTATTTACTTTTGAGACACTGTCTCACTCTATTGCCCAGGCTGGAGTGTAGTGGCATGATCATGGCTCACTGCAACCTTGACCTCCTGGGCTTAGGCAATCCTTCCACCCAAATAGCTGGGACTATAGACACATGCCACCACATCCTGTTAAATTTTGTAATTAAAAAAAATTTTTTTTTTTTTTTTTTTGAGTTGGAGTCTCACTCTGTCACCCAGACTGGAGTGCAGTGGCCGCTTCCGGCCACCGCAGCCTCGACCTGCTGGACTCTGGAGATCCTTCCTCCTCAGCCTTCCGAGTAGCCGGAATTACAGGCATGCGCTACCACGCCCGGCTAATTTTTGATTTATTGTAGAGATGAGGTCTCGCTACCCCAGGTGGGTCTTGAACCCGCGGGCTCAGGCAATCCACTCACCTCAGCCTCCCAAAGGCGTGGGATTACAGGCTGAGCCACCGAGCCCGGCTAAAAATTTTTTTTTTTGTAGAGATGAAATCTCCCTATGTTGTCCAGGCTGGTCTTAAACTCCTGGCCTCAAGCAATCCACCTACCTCAGCCTCTCAAAGTATTAGGATTATAGGCGTGAGCCACTGAGCCCAGTCAACACTGTCCTTTAAAGGACAGAATTAGCTCTAGCATTCAGGCCTTTGTCTTTTCAGCCCATCCTCTTCTCATCTTTAAGGCTCCTTATCAGCACTTTTCTGTGACCTTTAATGTTCTGTTAGTTCCATGTGAATATGGCTGTCAAAATATTTTCCTTGTCCATTATGTGTACATGTTACCTTGTGAGACAAGATTTTTTTAAAGTTTCACGATAAACAAATAGAGACATAAAACTCTTTAGTCACCCCATATAAGGAGAGGAGTCATGTGATTAGAACTGACCCAATGGTCCAAGATGACATTCTTATTGCTGAAGATAGTGAGTGTTATCCAGAACATATTCATTATAGTAAAGTTTCTCTTATGAAAACTGAAGATTTCAAAGAGATTTATTCCTCCCTTCCTCTTATTCTTCAAAATTTTTGATAACTGACTGTGTTAAAAATCTGTGCTAATGCCGGGCTTTGTAGCTCAGCCTGTAATCCCGCGACTTTGGGAGGCTGAGGTGAGTGGATTGCCTGAGCCCGCGGGTTCGAGATCCGCCTGGGCAACTTGGCGAAACCTCATCTCTACAATAAATCAAAAATTAGCTGGACATGGTAGCGTGTGCCTGTACTTCCAGCTACTTGGAAGGCTGAGGCGGAAGGATCACCGGAGCCCAGTGGGTCGAGGCTGTGGTGGCCGGGAGTGGCCACTACACTCTAGTCTGGGTGACGGAGTGAAACTCCAACTCAAAAAAAAAAATAAAAAAATCTGTACTAACAACATAAAGAACAGGGAAAAGAAATGTGTTGTAAGCAAAGAAGTCATTTATTTTCAACATCCTGCATATTTCAGCTACTGGGTGATCGTCCTATCATAACGAAGTCAATCCAAAGACTACAACCAGAGGAGGACCTAGGAATGGGTTTCTTTGGTGCAAGTTTTAATTTACCCTGAGCCATATCCTCTATCTCAAGCCTCTGTCCTAGTAGCCTTTCAAGAATGAGAGATGAATTTGAGAGCCGTGGAACAGAGCAAAGCAAATGTAATTGGCTCCATGATTTTGGCCACCTGAGCACCACATAGTAATTAGCTCTGAGTATATGTTATCATGACAGTCCACATATAAAGTATATTATTCAATCATTATATGCTCTTTTGCCGAGGGCACACTGAAGCTTGCAAGTCAACTGTTCCTTTAAGGGGCTAAAGATCCAGTTAAGACACAGCAGGCTCCTGTTTCAGCCTCTGTATAAATTACTAATGACAGAGATGTCAGGGATTATCTAATGTTGCTTCCTATTCACTAAATAGAAAACAGGTCAAGGAAGCTTCAGTGGACATCTTGTTTGTTAATGACACAGAAGGAGCAAATGGAAAATAATTAAAGCAACATTAACTGTATGTGTGTTCTAAATTGAATGGCTCAGACTGCAACTGCTGTGGAATTTCTGAGGCAAGCAGTGACCAGGAAATGGTGCCATGGACACAGCCAAACCCAAGATGCCACTACTCAATTAAGCAGAGGAGAATGGATCCTCCTCTCGGCTGTGGCAAATACCTGTTTATTCTTCAAGGGTCAGCAGCAACTCTCTGAAACATTTCTCAGCGTCAGTCACACTGTCCACTACATCCCTGTATGCCATATCCCCATCTTCATGATGTGAATTCCAACATATGTGCTCTTTGTGTGTCTTCATCATTAGGACATAGGCTCACCTTCAAGTCTATCATTTCTAGAACATTGCACCTATTTAAACAAATAATTGTATGACACTATAACTAGACAAATGTCATACTGCAAATTATTCACTTTGAGGACAATATGATACATGAAGCATGCATACTAACTTATTGAAAATGTGATTAGGTAAAGTATAGAATGATCCTGTGGAACAGGGTCTTAAAAACTTAGAGTATGGACCGGGCCCAGTGGTTCAGCCTGTAATCCCAGCACTTTGGGAAACTGAGGCAAGTGGATTGCCTGAGCCCATGGGTTCGAGACCAGCCCAGGCAACTTGGCAAGACCTCTACAATAAATAAAAAATTAGCCAGGTGTGGTAGCGTGAGCCTGTAGTTCTGGCTACTTGGAAGGCTGAGGTGGAAGGATCACTGGAGCCCAGCAAATCGACGCTGGGGTGGCCGTGAGCATGCCACTGCACTCCAACCTAAGTGATGGAGTGAGATTCCAATTCAAAAACAAAAAAAGGAAAAAGGGAGGAAAAAAAATTTAGGATATTTAAGATTGAGGATTCTGAATGTATACAGTAGAAACTATGTTTTTAAAGCATTTTAGATGTTAGAATCTTTTGAAGAAGAGTGATGTGACTGAATTGAACAGCAGCTAATTCTGTTGGGGATCCAGTTAAATGATGACTCTGCCTCAGTTGGGAGCATCATCCCCTAGAGAGCAAGGGCTAGCTGTGGTCAACCGAGAAATGTATTTTTTTGGTTGTTACATCCTGAGTTTGGCTTTTTAATAATTTACTTATTCCACTTATCTCATTTTAGATATAAAGCACTGCCATCTCTTCCCCTCTTTGAAATTTAGGCTTTAAACTTGCATTTTTAATTTTTATTTTTAACTTGTTTAGGTGTCTGTTATTTAAGTGAATTAGGCGATATTGCCATCTACTGGCAACAAAAATCCCTGTAGTCTTTTTCTTCACATAACATTTTACATGTAGAAGGAAAATTTCCAATATTTTGAGGGAATATATTAGGACAAACACATACAAGGACGCTTCTATGTCCTCCCTTTTTTTTTTTTTTTGAGTTGGAGTCTCACTCGGTTGCCCAGACTGGAGTGCAGTGCCCGCTCCCGGCCACCGCAGCCTCGACCTGCTGGGCTCCGGCGATCCTTCTGCCTCAGCCTTCCGAGTAGCTGGAATTACAGGCGTGCGCTACCGTGCCCGGCTGATTTTTTTATTTATTGTAGAGATGAGGTCTCGCTGCCCAGGCGGATCTCGAACCCGCGGGCAATCCACTCACCTCAGCCTCCCAAAGGCGCAGGATTACAGGCTGAGCCACCGAGCCCGGCTCTATGTCCTCCCTTTAAACAATCCTTTCTTTTAAAATTCTCCTTAAAGATTTTAAAATTTCTCTTTAAACATTAGAATAAATTGATACATAAGTTTTAGACATACGTAGGTGGTACATGTGCCATTTGGATATGTATAGTGTATAATGATAAAGTTGGGGTATTTAGGATATCCGTCACCTCAAACATTTATCATTTCTTTGTGTTGGGAACATTCCAAAACTCCTAGAGATTTCGAAATATGCAATATACTGTTGTTAACTATAGCCACTGTACTGTACCATTGAACATTAGAACTTACTCCTTCTATCTAATTGTGTGTTTGTACCCATTATCCAACCTCTCTTCCTTCCTTCACCCATTCACATCTCCCTTGCCTCTGGCAACTGCATTTCTACTCTCTACCTCTGTGAGATCTGCTTATGGCTTAGTTCTCATATGTGAGTAAGAACATATGGTATTTGTCTTTCTGTGACTGACCTCCAATTCTATCCATGTTGTTGCCAATGACAGGATTTTATTCATTTCTTTATGGCCAAAAAGTATTACATTGTGTACGTATACCACATTTTCTTTGTCCATTTATCTGTGGATGGACACTTAGGTCATAAAAACCCTCCTTTTAAACTTCACAGTAATTGTCTCTTCATTTTTCCCATACTCTTAAGGTAGTGATGATACTGGGTGTTTTGCAAAGCTTTAGAGGTTGGTAGCACTGCAGCTATTATTGGGATCTGAATTATGTGAGGAATCAGGCCACTGGAATCAGGGACCAAAATTTCCATTTTGAGTGTCTCTTTCTGTGGAAAGAGGTAGTAAGTGGAAAATAAAGTTTACCCCAGTACAGTCCCCTGCTCTCTATGGAAACTTCTGAGGACTAAAAAATAGACCCCCTCCCTTACACTTCTGTGCACTTTAACTTAGTATTTTTCCTTAATGCTCTGGAATCACTAGCATCTTTCTTTCTGAGTTTTATAGACCTTTCAGGTACCTTTCAATATCTTCTGCCCACACATTGTCTCTCCTTCATGCTCTCTTATTACTTTTTCTTCTGGCTACCTAGATTATAACTTCAGAGTTGAGCAACACTCTGACCATTAGAATGATTCTAGCTACTCAGTCCGGAGATCTGAGAGATACAGACCCTGGCTCCTCACACTGTTAGCGTGGACTCCCAGGGTAGAGGTATGGCTGCTCCCAAGGTCTTTATCAGTGAAGTGATCTGAGGAAGGGGCATCTAGTCTGTGGACAAATGTATGCTGACTGAGTTTACAAAACCAGCTGGGCCTCCCCTCCTAAGTCAGGGACCAGTTGCACCAGGGTTGGGAGAAGGGGAAGGCAAAAGAGTGAAGAACTTTAAATGAGAAATTTGAGTGCCCAAAAGGTTTCTAAATATTGGACAAACAACCTCAGTGAAAAAGTTGGGGCCTTTTCAACTTTGGGATAAATCAAGAATCACTACATTTAGATAAAAACACAGGCTTCTAAGGTTTGGAAGAGGCAGAGAAGAGGGCATAAGATGAGGGGATGTGTGAAAATCCAGGCTCTAGATCTTCATGTCCAACCAGCCTCAACAGATGGAGTTAAAACAACCCAACGATAAATTTGGGGAAAGTCCTATTTTCCAGCTCATGATATTGGTGAGAGTATGAGGGCAGCTGAGACCCAAACTAGCTCCTTTGATATTGTTGGTTCCTTAGTCTGTAGCCAGAGTGATGTGTCAAAAATGTCAATCTGAAGAAAAGTCAGTATGATTTCTCCCAATGAAAACACTTCAGTGACTCCTTGTTTCCTCAGCGTCCATGACGTATTCTACACCTCACTTGAGCATCACTTCTCCCACCACTCACTCCCTGCCTCTTGGATCAGAAAGCTGAATGGAACATAGCTCTTCTTTCCATGTCATGCCTTACTGTGTCATACTTCTTGTGTCTTTACCCTGAAACTTCCTTCTCTACTCTATGTGGAAAAAGATGATTAACTCCACTCACCTTTCAAGACATATTTCAGAAATTATACATAGGATGCTGTCATCTAATCTCCAGACTTGGGCTTGAAGTATCTCCTGTGGGCACTCATGCTCCTCAGTTGGCATCTCTATCAGCGAAATTACCATCTTGCAAGAACCAGTTTACTCTGGGTTGGTCCTCCCGGGAGGACTGTACACATGGGCAGACAGTAGGAGCCTGTTATATATTTATGAAGTACGTGAGGTATTCCTTTGGGAGTATTTGGAGCTGGCTTGGTATAATTATTTCTTAAACTCTTTCTCTCATTAACTTATTTTCCTCAGACCTTTCTTATTGTCTGGACAGTTGTCTTTCCATAATCTGGATAATACTTGCATGATCTCAACCAAGAATTAGTACCAAAGCAGAATGTTACAGCCTGTACTAGGGTTACAGTGCTTTGATGAAGACTGACATGCTATTTGAGTTGACCCATTCTTCATTGCTTTCCCATACCTCCAAATCATTATTATTATATTTTCCTTTATGAATAATGCATACAACTTCCTTTTGAGAGCAAGATCATCTCTATCTTGTTAATTTCTCTAAATACCCACCTAAAGTTGTGCTTGGTACACAGTTGGTGAATGAATGAACTTGTTCATTTGCCTCTAGAAAAATCTGCCTATTTGCTAGAAGGCTGTACTCTTCAGTTGCATCCTCCTCCCCAGTGCCTGGAGCTTGAACAAATAATGTTCTTTTCACCCCTTAGGAACACCCATCTCAAACTATTCATAAAAATTCTGTGGACAGGGAGATATCATATCACAACAGCATGCATGTTTTGGAATTGATGTGTAAACTATTTTTTCATTTGGAGAAAATTAGACTTTTCTACAAAAGTTGCTGCTTTTGTGTTTGGTATATAACATGTAATAAATAACTAGCTGTGAGGCTTATTAGTGAGTGGCAGGCATGTAAATGATTGAATAGATTTAATCCTGCCATTGAGAAAGAAACAAATTACCCTTCTCTTGGTAAATTAATATTTGTCATATCACTCAATTCTATGCAATATATTACCTCTACTAGAGGCTTAAAGTAGTTTAACCTAGAGGCAACAGTAGAGTTAATAGAACTCACTAAGATGTGTGTTAGATTTTTTTCTCCAACCCCACCATTGATTGTTTTAAAATGCTTTCTTTTAAACACTTACCATTTTTTGCTAATAAATATCATATTGTGGAAAGAAGATTACTTTTTAAAAGAAGTAATTATATCATACCCGAATGTTAGCTCTGATAGGTAGCCATGCATGACTCGGCAAGGTATCTGTGAACAGCCACAGGGGAATGTTATTCCAACTGACTGTCCTGGAAATGGTACATTTTACAGGTATGCAGTGCAAAACTTGCCAAGCTTAATTAATACCGCTTTTTTGAAAGGACAAATTGAGATAATTAGGTGTTCCAACGAGCACAAATTGAAAATGAGCAAAACCAAAACTGTGTGACCTCTCAATCTTTTAGAGAAATTTCAGGTTAAGAAAGAAAACCTTTCCACGCTTTTTTATTTTTTGAAAGGTGCTAATTACCTAGTAATATTTCCATTACAGGAGAAGCTGAAATTGAGATGTACATTCTACCATAGCAAGGTAGGAAGGAGTAATTAACAACAACAATTCAGACTGCTCTAGGAATCTAAAGCTGAACAATTAATTTTCTAGCAAGTCAGTTAGAAATGTTTTATAAATTGGTCATTAAAATGACTCTTGTGCTACCTGTTAAACATAAAAGATTGGTATAATCCCAAAGACTTCACAGCAAGGCCCAGCATGGGAAGAGAGAAAATGACCCAGTATTTAGTTAGTATATGGATCCTAACCTATGTTTGAATTTTATAGGAAGCAAAACATGTCATTTGGTGAAACTGAAGGATTCATTGTAATAATTAAGGACAGAATGTTATTCTTAAAATTATAGCAAGCACATGATAAAGCAGAACTTTGAAATTATAGGTTTGATGATATGAGAAATAAAAGTCCTGCTTTGGCCTCTGTAACAACTGACATACCAATGGGATAATTATAAACCACACTTTAACTCTCACACCCTCAAGTGTAATTTAATGAAAAGTTTAACAAGGAACAAAAAAGAAAAGTACTAACATCTACAAAGGTCTATTTTGTGCCACATGCTGTGCTGGATACAGAACTGTTACTGATTCATTCAATCCATAATCGCCTCAGAAGGTAGCACTGCTCATGGTTACCCAGTTAGAACACCCAAGTGAACTCTGACTCAAACCTCGTGCTATTTCAACTATACTTGGATGATTCTCAAATTCAGCATAGTAGATATAAAAAATTAGGAATGTTTTAGGCAAGAGCAATCATGATATCTGCTAAAAGAACAATATTATAAGCAACATACTCTGCTCAGCTGATCAAATATTATTTGCTATGGTTGATACAATGGAGAATCTGCTCAATGTTAAAGCTCTTTTGGGGGTACTTAATAAAAAGATTCTTCTTTCTTGTTTGCTAAATCCACTTTAAGAAATGATCTCCAAAATGGCCTTTTGTCTGCCATAATGACCATCTCTATAAATGTCACAGATACTTCAAACACTCCAAAAATGTTCATGAGAGAGAGAAGTACTTGGCTTAAACAAACTAATGTAGATGTGAAGATTGAGAATGTGACAGTAAGCTATGATCTTGCTAACTAGGAAAGTTATGTACATAATAACGAAGATTCTGTGATACTTTTGCTTAAGTTAGAAAAAATTTATTTCTATAAAATCATACTTAGTGAATACTGTCCATATTTCATATTATGCAGAGATAATAGTCTGCATAATAAAATAAAAATTATGGGTGGCTAATAACTCTCTTATATGGATTTTCCTGAATTAAGTAATGATGGTAAAGCTGATAGGTATTATTCATTAAGAATTTATTGCATTTCAAATGCTGTGAGGTGCTCCTTGGACGTTGGTACTTTTTATCTGTGTACCAAGTCTGTGAACTGGGCATTCTTGTTTCCATATCAAAGAGGGCTGAACTTAATGAAATTAAGAAACTTGCCTAGAGTTATAGAAGTTAGACAAACATCTACTTTTCTTTACTGTTTAAAATTAGATATTAACCGGGCTCAGTGGCTCTGCCTGTAATCCCGCGCTTTGGGAGGCCGAGGTGAGTGGATTGCCTGAGCCTGAAGGTTCGAGATCCACCTGGGCAACTTGGCGAGACCTCATCTTTACAATAAATTAAAAAATTAGCTGGGCGTGGTAGCATGCACCTGTAGTTCCAGCTACTTGAAAGGCTGAGGTGGAAGGATCACTGGAGCCTAGCAGGTCGAGGCTGCGGTGACCTGGAGTGTGCCACTGCACTCCAGTCTAGGCAACAGAGTGAGACTCCAACTCAAAATAAATAAATAAACAAACAAATAAAATAATATAAAATTAGATATTATTTTAGGTAAATGGATTTAAATGAGCAGTTATTTTCTGGAAACCTTTTTGTATCATTGCCTTTTTCCTTTTTTTTTTTTAAACAGGGAACCAAAGTCCTGCAGATGTTCATGTGGTACCTGAATCCACGGCAAGTCTTTGATCTTTCTCAGGAAGGGCCAAAAGATGCGTAAGTCTGGAAATGCCTCCATGGTCCATATTTTTTAGGCAAATGAGAAGAACTTTCTGCTTTGGGGTCACTATCTTGATTTACTAGCTGATTACCTTGTGAAGTATCAGAAGACCATCTCTCACTTACTTTCTTATCTGTACTGTCCTTCCTTTAAAACTCATCTGATGTTCCCTCTTACTCTTTATTGGATCAGTTTCCTTTAAACCATGTCTTCTCAGTTGTCAACTCAGAGACTACTTCTAGTGTGTTTGCTGCTCATGCGGATGCAACTGTAGATTATTCACAGGTAGTCTGTAAGTGGAGAAAGGGTTCATCTTTTTTTATGTCTGCGTGCAATTTTGGAGATGTAGGTATCTTTGTGGCGGGTGGCCATGTTATTTTAAGAACATTTGAATTGGAGGTATGTGTGCGTGTGCATGAATGTGCATTTAAGAAAGAGTGAAATATTGAGTGGTTATACCTACAGACTCGACACCAGTTTGGGGAGATATTTCAATTCCTCTCAATCCCTTTTTGAACATCTCAAAAATGTCATTCTCTGTTTTTGTTAGAAGCATTGAAAACAAAGTCTAGATGTAGGCAACCCATATCCTATTTCTTTTGTTTGGTGGAAAGGCACATAGCAGGAAAGAGCATGCTGATGACTGGTTCCCTGTTTTAAATTCATCTACTAAATTAGTTCGGCTGTTTCCTGGCAAACATTAGGACATAAGGAATATTGATTATTTTTTAATAAGCAACAATATCAGAGGCAAAGAAATGTCAACTCAGATGATTTATAGAAGAATGGTGTTCTTGTATAAAATGAATAAATTACATATTTTAAGCATGCAGAAAAACATGAAATACTAAAGTTAATTTCTGTCACTCTCTTAATCTATTAATTTCTTTGCCACTAGAGTTTGCTGTGAGACTTCTGCTTTTTTCTTTTCTGTACTTGGTTGTGCTAAGGCAAATCTGTTATGCTGGCTTGTGCTATTTCAGATGCTTACTTTTCTTAAAATTGTACTATTTTAGTTAGACATTAGGTAGATACTTCATAGATCACCATAAAGAATATGGTAGGACAGGAAATATTTTCAGAAAAAATCATATTATTTGATTTAAATGGGTGATGTTATCTGGAATAGAGCTATTAGCAACTTCACTTTAGGAAAAGATTTAGCAGAGGCAGTGCCACTGCATTTTCTTGGAAACCAACAAGCAGGAAAGAGAAGATCTAATTTTAAACAGGAAAGTTTAAAATAAAGAAAAATCAATTAATCTTCCCACTATGGGCTGTAAGAATAAGTAAGGGTGTAAATAAGTGAATGAGAGAGAGAGTAGACAAAATTATGGATGTGGTAGTAATGATAATGGGGAAATCCAGCCTCTGAAAAACATTTTCTTTGATTAAGAGTGAAAAATATTGGTTTGAAAAAGTAAATACAACCAGGTGCAATGGCTCACACCTGAAATCTCAGCACTTTAGGAGGCTGAGGCAGAAGGATTGCTTGAGCCCAGGAGTTCAAGACCAGCCTGGGCAACATAGAGACACCTCATCTTTACAAAAAATTTTTAAAGTTAACCAGGCATGATAGTGTGCACCAGTAGTGCCAAAACTTGGGAGGCAGAAGTTGGAGGATTTCTTGAGTCCTGGAATTTGAGACTGTGGTAAGCTGTGATTGTGCCACTATACTCCAGCCTGGGCAACAGGATGAGACCCTGACTAAAAAAAAAGGAAAAAAAAAAAAAAAAGTGCCTCCAGGAAAAACTAATAAGATATAAAGAAGAGACTTGTATGGACTACTGATTATCAATTAATGATAATTTTTTTGAGAAAGAAGAGGGGATAATAATAAAGACGGAAGTTGAAACTAATGAGAAAAATAATGTGTGTTGACATGTTAATGGAAATTTTGGGAAATAAAACTCTAGAACATCTTAAAATCTCTTAAATTCCAAGGTTGGCTATTTAAGAATAATGTTTGCTGCCTATGTCTGTTCTGCTTGTTGGAGTCATTCCTCCTGTGGTTTCTTGGGAACTGTTTTTGATGGTATTGTCATGCTTATGATTACACATTTTCTCCAATGAACACCACCCCACCAATTTTGTCCTGTGTTTTCTCCCTGCTATAGCCAGTGATGTGTTCTTGTGTTAACTTTTTCTTGTGTTTCCTCTACAGGTTGGAGTTGTATAGAAAAGTACCAAACCTGCGAATTCTTGCCTGTGGTGGGGATGGAACGGTAGGTCCTTGACAGAGAATCCAGTTCTCTCCCTTTGCTATCTTTCTTATTGTGTTCCTTGTGACGATTCTCTTTCTTCACCTCGAGTCTTTCCCAGTCTCTCCTGTGAATCACAGTCCTAAGGGTAAGAAAGAACCTTGTCATTACCCTCAGAGAGTCTTATTGATCTTTCTAAAGGAAGCATAACTCCCTCACCCATACTATATCCTTTCTTGTTCCACAAGGTAAGGATGTGGTCAAATCACTAAAATGAAGATAAGAGATGGCTAAATTCTTTTAAAAATATAAATTGACCTATTTCCATTTATTCTTAATAATTAGTCACAGTAAGGAGAAATATGTGGACACTTAAATTATTGTACTTTTTTTACTAGTGGAAATAAAAGTCAGAATATTGACTGTTTTGCCTTAATGATCATTAATTTAGTCCATTTGTATTCTTTTTTATAGATGCATAATATTTTACACATTTATGGAGTACATGTGATATTTTGCTGCATGTAAAAAATGTGTAATGATCAAGTTAGGATTTGAGGATATCCAACATCTATGCACAGGGAACACTTCAAATTGTCTCTTCTAGCTATTTTGAAATATACAACAACCTGCTGCTAACTATATAGTCATCTTACCTTATTACCAAACATTAGAACTTATTCCTTCTGTTGCACAAGGTTTACATTCATTTTTGAAGAAAAGATGGAATTGGGCTGAAGTGTAATATCCTCATGTTTATATATTTCCCTTTATTTATTATGTCTCATCTATTTTTTTTTCACTTGGCCTTTACTTATGGTGATAAATTTAGCAAAGATAATGAATTGGGAATTGTGACATTTAGATTGTGTTGTCTAGTTTCTTTTTCTTCTGGATTTGGAATTTGATCTCATAGTCTCTAGGATTGTGTTATGATCTATCTTTGACCTTTCTCTAATCTTCCTAATTAGAATGTTTATCCCCAAATATAGCAACAAAAATCTTCTAATATTATGTCTCATGACACATAAGCACATAATATAGGATTAGGTACATATTATATACTAATAAATGCAACTGGAATAAGATAGAACATTGATTCTGCTGTTCCCTCAGATACTCTGTAGAGTGTAAAAACATTTTTTAGCTGGGGAAATAGTGTTTACCTTTCAAGGTTTATAATACACATTATTAGCTTATAAAATACATCATAGCCGGGCTTGGTGGCTCAGCCTGTAATCCCGCGCCTTTGGGAGGCTGAGGTG